TACATACATTTATCCAGTGGGCTATGTATAATGTTTGGGCCCATAAATGCCATTTTTCAAAGGAAACTCTGTATTCATTTCTGTCAGGTTTTGTCTTGCCTTCTACAGTCTTTCAGTGCTATGATGCAGCAAAAAAAAGTGTGAGGTACTGGTTATGCATATTGCAAGACAGTGATTCTTTATTTTATTACAAAAAAAGACCAACTCTAGAAGGCCAGATTAAATCATTCCTTTCACTTTTTAATGGGATTTGGATGAATAGAGTAAAATATGCACTTTGCATTCATTGATAGCATCTTTAGGTTGAGGTAATTGAGTCTTTTTTCCCTGACTGAATGAATAATGACTTCATCTGATCCTCAGCGAGGCCTGAAACTTAGACTGCCTTTGTCAATGCAAAAAGATCTGGGCTTTGAAACATGCTCTACTTCCCTGGCTTAATTTTTCTTCATTTTAATCCAGAAACCTATTTTTCTCAATAATTCAAGCATAAACTATGTAGTAGTTGAAGTAGCGGAAATTGCAAGATATTTGTCCTCGTTGTGCTGCTTTTTAAATGCAGTTGATAAATCAGCCACTGTGGTCTTCAGCTGCCTCGTTCTCAAGGGAAGGGACAGCCCGTACACAAGGAAGAATGTTGGAATATCCGAGAGTTTTGTACAAAGTGTTTCTCATCTTGAAGTATTATGTAGTATTAGTCTTTCTGACAGTGGACTACACACACACACAGGTTTTGCTGGGAATATTTCACCGCCATGATAGTCTCACATTGTCTGCTGTCATAATAATGTCACCAAGAAGAGCATATCATAAATAGTTCCATGGATGTGAACCACCATGGGAATGGTATACGTATTGCCTTTGGAAAAGGACTATATGGAATGTAATTGGTGAAAGATAGGATCTTCTGACAAGTCCTTAGTTAATTGTCATACTCTGCTTCTTTTTTTAAAAAGACACAATTTTCTAATTAAGTATCTGCTTTTAACTTAAATCTCTCTAACTGTTCTCAAGCTTGTTACTTGTATAAGAAGTTAAAGTAAGGAGCATGTGGGGAAAAGAACTAGTTTGATTCTCAGTGTCATCTTTAGTTAGTTCTTTGCTACTGTTGAGTTTTATATTCTGGGTCATATTTCACAAATGATGGGGAGGTGACATAAATATAGGGTTTCCTTAACTGAATTTGGGTTTGTCATGCTGTGGCTTGTGACTTCATAATTGGGAGCTCCCGGTCGCCGCCAAAGGCAATGACGGCCGGGGGTGGTTTGCCGCCGCGGAGGAAGGCGGGGCGGCAACAGTGTCCCAGCGCAGCGCGCTGGGATGTGGGTGGGAGGAGCCAGCCTGGTTAGGCTTGGCTCCGCTCCCGCCCAAGGCCAGTTGCTGCCTCGTGCTCGCCCACCCGCCCTGTTTTCTAGTGTAGGCTGAGGCTGGTCACCCAAGGGGGCCAGGTAGGAATTTTTCACTTTTACCCAGGATTGGTAATGGGGTGGTAATGTTTTCGCCTACCTTACACTGGAGCAGTGGAACAACAGGTTTGGGCGTGGCTGTTAAATAGCTTGGTCACTTTGGCAGAATAGGGCAGGGATAAGGAAGCGGAAAATGGTGAGCACCTTAAGCCGTCCCTTGTTTTGGGAACTGGGGGGTCTTCAGGAATGGCCTGCGGGCTATTAAGGCCCCGGGCAGTGAATGATGATTCCCCCTGGGAACCTCTTGGGTAAGCTCCTCTCTGCAAGCAGTATGGTTTCAGAGGTAGGCGCTCCTGGGAGGCTACCAGTGGCTGGGCTGTTGGTCGCAAGCCGGATTAATGGCTCAAGACTGGGGTTGGTGGCTCACCCACATATTAGACAATGAGGCTGGTCAGCCTGACACCTGCCTTGTCTGTTCCGCTACCTAGGAAGTGCTCCCTTGCCGGTTTTTGTTAATAAACTGTATATAGTTAATAAAGTTTGTTTGATCCAAACTAATTGTCCATCTCGTTATCCAACTGTGGGGGCAAAGGAGGGACAGATGAACCCAAGAAAGTTTTACCGAATGATGTGTTGGTTTTTCTGAGATTATGGCTTTGCCCTGTCTTAGGCGAAGGAAATGATTGGATCTAAAGGTATCCAATCCAATTAGAAAGGTGTCCTCTGCTAATGGTAGAGCTCTTTTATACCTTGCTCAAAAAAAGTGAAGTGAAAGACAAATTCATTCTACTGTTTGTGCTTGAGTTTACATGAGAGTTTGAGAACTGCTGTAGAACCTACCTGTAAAACCCACCTGTGTGAACTCTTGCCCAAAGTACTTGTGGAACAGTGCTAACTGCTGTTTTTCGTCAGTTCATGGTTCTTTGGATTCAGCCTGTAGTTTTTGAAGAGAGATTGTAGAGCAGGGGTCGCCAAACTGCGGCTCGCGAGCCCCCTGTGACTCTTTTACAC